GGCTTGGGATGGGGGGTGCCGCTCTCAGGGCCACTTCCCTAGCCTTTTCTCAGCAGGGCCTTCAGGGAATTCGGGAAGATATAGATGTGGGGCTAGATAAACTTGAAACAGCAACCAGGTTCCTTCAACAATTCCTCTCCTCCCTGGCACAGATGACCATGCAAAACAGAAGAGGGCTTGATCTCCTTTTTATGCAGCAAGGAGGATTATGCATGGCGCTAGGAGAAGAGTGCTGCTTCTATGTAGACCACTCTGGGGTAGTAACAAAAAACCTTGATGAGGTCCGGAGAGAAATAGAAGGTAGGTGAGCCAGGAGAGACAAAACCTTATTCGAACAATGGTTCAACAGCTCCCCTTGGCTGACCACCTTGCTGTCAGCTCTGTTAGGACCTTTAGTGATAGTCACGCTTATTTGTTCCTTTGGACCCTGCATCTATGGAAGGCTTGTAAGAATTATACAAGGTCAGGTAGAACAAATACAGGCTATGACGCTCCGGCTCCATTATGACCACATACCCACCTCCTCCCAACATGAGACAAGCACCTAAACCAAGGTTTATTAATGGCTCACCTAATTCAAGGTTTGGCCATCTACCGGGGCATCTGGAATTAATGGCTCACCTAACCCAAGGTTTGGCCAGCCCTGTAATAATTGGATACCCGGTCAAAAAAAAAAAAACAAAAAGGGGGAGATGTGGAGGTGTGGTAACAAGGTGGTGCTGAGCAGCTGAGGTGAAGGCAGGGCCAGCTGGCCAGCTTGGCGCACCTCAAAAAGAGGAAGTAATACTGATTGGAGCCTAGCCAGTAAAGGACATGTGATCACCTCGTGAACAATATGTTATACTATGAGAAGAGCCTGCATGGCATACATGACCTCTAAGCTGATTGGATGACGGCTTTCCTGCCTATGCTAATGCTTGTGGCTTTTTCCCTTAAATATTGATCAGCCTTGCCAATAAATGAGTTTCCTGCTTGAAGCGACTCCCTGCTGCATCTGATTGTCCTTGGAGAGAAGGGCTGGCAAAATGGGCAGGCAGTGCAATTCCCCCTCCTCGACCCCCATCGCCGTGGCCTCTCGTTCCTCTGCCCCAGACGAAGGGGTTTGGAGACCATGGCATCTCCTCATCCTAAATTTCCTACCAGCTTGTAAATATCTTATGATCACTAAAATATCTTTTATCCACGATTACTAAAGGTAAAGGACATAGCCTTCTCTAAATGCTTTGTCCTAGGGCTCTGGCCAAAGACCTGAGTGTTGCCATACCCACATGCAGCCAAGTGTATCATGCAGGCTCACACCAAGTGATACATCAAACACTATTTTAAAGCTAGTTATTATGTCAATAAATGGTGCAGGAGCTTAATAAAACTAAGAAAATCCTCAACACAAATATATCATACAAAAAATTAACTCAAGATGGGACATGGGCTTAACATGCAAACTCATAGAACTTTTAGAAAAAAATACAGCTAACCAAAAACAATTTCATTGTTCCACTGAATCAGAAACAACAACAGGTCTTTGCCAACATTTACTTTTTTTCCACTGATGTCATAATGGTTTGAATTTGTATTTCCCTGATTTCTGGTGTTCCTGAGCAGTTTGTGACAGCTTATAGCCTTTCTCATCTGAGAATTTTATTTAAAAGCTACATCTGTTTTGTTCTGCCTCATTTTTTTTTCTTTTTTTGGGGGGGTGGTCTTTTTGGGACAGGGTCCTTGAACTCACAGAGATTCACCTGCCTCTGCCTCCTGAGCGCTGGGATTAAAGGCATGCACCACCATGCCAGGCCTCATTTTTTCTTTAAATACTGAAAATATTGAACCTTAATTTCTTAAGGCCTCCAAAACAGGTTTTCCTAACCTGTTCCTTTTTTTTTTTTTTGCTGTATTTATTGTCTTTTTCCACATAGATGTTTCTATTTTTGATGTAGAAAGTTAATCGCTCTTTCTATTACAGTCTGGTATTCCTGTTCTGCCTTCTCTTTGGTTCTGGGAGTTCAGCTAACACTGGCTAGTCAGTCTCTTGCCTCAGCTAGACTTAAATTCTAGAATCCAGCCTGTAGGAGACCAAGCTCCCTTCGCCTCCCTGCACCAACTACGGTGGACTTCTCAACCTTCTCTGTACTCCCATGCACACCTTGAAAACGCTAACATGAAACAAGAGGATGGCAGAAGGGACCTTGGGAATTCTCTTGTCCCACTCTCTCATTTCAAAGATGATTCTGAGATCTAGACTTGCTGTAGAACATGACAGCCACAAGTAATTGTTACATCTTTGATCACTGAAAAGAAAAATTTGGCCACAGTTGTCAAACACTCCATAGCCAAACATGGTTACGGGTGGAAAATATTTCCATTACTGAATATTCTAGCGAACAGGCCTGTTCTAGCATTTTGCTGGTTAAAGGGTGGCCCACCGGGAACTGGCTGGAAATAGAGAACCTCAGGCCTCACCCCAGGTCAACAAGTGGAGTCTGCACTTTAACACGATCTGTAGACATGTACACATAGAGTCCGAGGAATCCTAATTGGGTGCTTTTTTTAAGGTCATATAGCTGTTTAGTGTTTGAACTCTGCTCCCAACCCAGCCACTACTTCCCATTATCATCTTGTCCTTCCTGTTCTCTCCTTGAAGTGTTAGCTTCTCATGCTAGTTCAGTACAGCACTTTTTAAAAAGATGAGGCAGCCAGGTCCGCATCACACACCACTGCCTCCAGCAAGGTAAGATGACGTTCTGTTTGTTATAAATGACTGGTCAAGGTATTCTTCTAGAGCAGCACAAATGGTCTAAATTGCAAAGTGATGAACTGAGTCTTAAAGGATAGTGTATTAACAGCCCTATTTCAATTCAGCCCCTACAACACAGAGGGCACAGAGTAAGAGCATACTAAAGGTGAGTGGGATCAAACAGTATAACTACAAAGGCAGGTTATATCTAATGGCTAAATGGAAAATCAGTAATAAAAATACTAATGTTTACAATAACCAACCCTCTTCAAGAAAGCCTGAATACCAGACAGTGGCAGGGACATTTCTGCTTAAGCCTAAATTCATATACCTGTTATTTGCATAGGCCTCTGTCCTAGTTTATTTCTTCATTGCTGTGACAAAACACTCTGACCATTACCAACTTGGGGAGGAAATGGTTTATTTAGTTTACATATCCTGGGTCACAGTTCATCCAGGAGCCCAATGTAGGAATTTAGGGCAGGAACCTGGAGGCAGGAGCTGGAGCACAGGCCATGGAGGGAACGCTGCTTACTGGCTTGCTCCCCTGGCCCCTGCTCAGCCTGCTTTCTTATGCAACACAGGCCCACCTGCCCAGGGGTGGCACCACCCACAGAGGGCTGGGCCCTCCCACATCACTCATCATGAAGATGCCCCATGGACATGGCCACAGGCCAGTCCAATAGAGGTAATTCCCCAACTGAGGCTCCTTGAACCCAGGTGTGTCAAGTTGACACTAAAGCTATCCAGCACACCCTCCAAGAAAGAGGAAAATATACATCTTTTATTTGTAGTTTTATATTTGTTTGTGTATATTATAATATAGTTTGAAGACTCAACTAATTAGCCCTGATGGAATTAAGATTACAGAGTAACCCCAGGCATCAGTATCAGCCAGGTATGGTTGAACTAAGTGAACCTATTGCACATTCTTTTTTTTTTTTTTTTTTCTTTTTTGCAATAGTGGGGATTGAACCTAGGGCTCCATGAACAGGAGGCAGGCTATTTACCACTGAGCATCAGCCCCAGCCCTGTACTTCATAGTTGCTATACAAACTTTGTCAAGAGTACAGACAGCAGTGGACTTTATGTTCTGTAAGACCCAAGGAACTTAGAGCAAGAGGCTGCTCCTGGCCAAGGAAAAACCTCCTTATGCAATACCAGGATGACTCTACTTGTTTAATCACAATGAGTGTCATGGCTCTGGATTCTATTTTTAAAATGCAACCTTGAGCTTACTTGCCAATTGCTGACTTCTATTTGCCTATGATGAGATTTCCAATGTTCTTTATCAACTTCACACATTTGATTATCTTTCTTGCCCCCCCCAAAAGTTAAAATTATTCCATGAAAAAAATTTAAGAATTTAAGAAAGATTGTAAAACAATTTATGTTGCTTGCTTGTTTGTATGAGCAGCACATGCATGCAGGTGCCCAGGGAAACTAGAAGGGGGCATTGGGTCCCCTAAAACTGGAGTTACAGGTGTTTCTAAGCAGCCTGATCCGGGTGTTGGGAACTAAACCCAGGCCCTCTGCAAAATCAGTAAGCACTCTTAACCACAAAGCAATCTCTCCTGCCCCAAATTCTTCCTTTTCTTTCTTTTTTAAAGACAAGAAATGTATGACACCTTAGCTCTTGGCCAGGATGGCCTCGAAACCACAGAGGTGGAATTAAGGTTGGGTGTCACCACACCACTAGACAATATCTTTATGAGCTAGTCAACATTTTTGAATGGATTTTAGTTGGTTTCTGCTTTAGTTCTCTAGAGACCACGGGGGAGGGGGAGTAGTAATTCTAAGTACCCAAACATAGGCTCTTTTCAGTTTTTATATATATTTAGGGTCTGGGTGGCTGTGATGCAGGTTTGGGTCAGACCTCTTAACTCAGGGCCTAGAACTGACTGCAGACGGACTGGATTCAGTGGGCCGCCTTCTGCCCCTGGCCACCCACCTGGCAGAGGACACACAGACTTCCATCACTACATGCCCACCTCCACTGCGCCATCCCTGGGGAACCCATGCTCTTCCAGGTCAGGATCCTGCCTCAGGCCCCAACTGCTGAGTGCTGCCCTAGTGCCCAGCACCTGGCAGTTCATCCTCGCAGGATGACGCATTAATGGTCATTATTCCAATGAGTGACTTCTTCACTCTGGGATAGTGTCCTGGGCCACTTCCTTGACCTTCAGGTCTGGCTTCTTGGCCTTCGAGAGGCAAACCAGGCGGCGCATGCGCGCCTACTGGGCGGCGCTGAGGGGAAGGGAACACTCGCAAAGGCGCGGCCCAGACGCCCGCTTATCCTAGTGGGCTCACGACGCATGCGCGGGCGGCGCGGGCTTAAAGGCGGCTGCCGGCCCCAAGCCACCCAGTCGGCCTGTCAGCCGGCTTCGAGGTCCGTCCCTACGCTTGCGCGGCGGCGGTGGTGGCGGCGATGGCGGCGGAGGAGGAGGTGGATTCGGCGGACACCGGCGGAGGGTGAGGACCGCCTGGAAGGGGTGGTTTGGGGGCGCGTGCCCCGGGTCAGCTCCGAGGACTTACAACGCTCTGGGCGACACCGGCCACCTCGCTGAGGAGGAGTGCGGGCGACGCCCTGCCGGGACTGCTGGTGGCGGACAGAGGCCGCGCCGCGCCGTGGGTCGCCGGGCTCTGGAGGAAGCGGCTCCGCGGCCGGTCTGCCGGATGAGGAGATCGCGGCCCGGCACCGCCCGCCTCTTGCGCGCGGAGGTGGAGCTCCGCGCCGATCTGGGTCCAGCTGCCCCGGGAACCGAGGGGCCGAGCGGGAGGGGGCCGGCGCTTCCCGCGAGCTCAGAGGTACCGGAAGCCCGGTGTCCGGAAGCGTGCGGAGGGGCGTGTGGCGGCGGCTTTCAGAAAAGGCCCAACTTCCAGAAACTTCGCGGAGGGGTTAAGGCGGAAAGTGAGCGAGCCAGCGGTCTTCCGCGGTGGTCCGCTCTGGGTTCACGCCTCTGCGCTGGCGCTCCCGGGGCTTACCGAGCCCCTGAGCAAAGCAAGTGGAAGGGCAGGTGCCTGACCCGAAGTGCTTTAGGGCCATCACTCCCAGCTAGGCTTTGTGATAGACTGATTCTAAATTATTCTTTTCTGTCCATGACATGTGTCGTGCACTTGTGAATAGAAAAATAGTAATTGGTGGAAAAATTAAATTACCATGAAAATTACAGCGTTCTGAAGACTATTTTGTGTTGGGTGGGGAACCCTATACTTCTCCCTTATAAATTAAATATTTTGGCAGTTCTACTTCAACTATCTGGAGAATTTTGCATAGGAAACATAATCCAGAAGATAGATGGTGGGGTATTATGAAAACAAGTATTTTGGAAAGCTATCCAAGGAGGGATTTTTGCAATATTAGAAACTATGTTCTCCTCCTGAGTTTTGTTCAAATAATTGGGCTCATTTGTTTGGGTTTGTTGTTGAGCTTCCCAGTTACACTGACATGAAATGGTGACTGTCATGTGGTCACGAGTAGGAGCTCAGCTGGTATCTTGTGTTCCTATTAAATTTGTCACAACATTTTTTGGCTCTGAGACTACTAACCCAGGGTCCCCTTTGTTATGAAGCTTGTGAGTCTAGAGTAGAACAGTGAAAGGGACTTACTGCTTAGGTGATGACTGGAGGTCACTGAGGGCAGACCAGCTATAGTCCCTAGACAGAGGTAGGCCTTCCTGGTATTCTTGGCAGGGCATTTGATCAGTGCCCAGTGTCTACACTAGGATGGCCTTCTGAACTGCACCAAGCAAGCACAGAGCAGGCTAAGCTCCTGCTGGGTGTTCCTCAGGTGTCGTCATATTAAAACTAATGTCTACCCTGTGTGCTAGATCTGTCTCATTTTGCATTTGGAACTGCCCCAAGTAGTAGAGCTGTTTGGACCCACCCCCTCAGATGACTGTATTTAGCTTTAAGGCATTTTCCCTCTATTTCTGCTTCTCTTTTGGATTGGGACTAATGGGATGATGTTTGGCTACTGTTTTGAGTCAAGGTCCTCCTTTCAGACATTTGAAGGGCTTAGGTGGTGCCATAATTTGGATATGATTTAAGTCTCCTAAGAGGCTTCACATGTTGAAACTTAATCCTCATTGTAAAGTATTAAGAGGGTTTAATCTGACCATAGTGTCTATAGGTAAGGCCTTTGGGGAAAGATTAGGATCAGATAAAGTTATTGGGATGGTGCCCCAGATTGAATCCTAGTGGTTTTATGTGAAGAGGAAAGACCAGGCGGATGTGCATACTGTATGCTTTCTGCTCCCCGTGTCTTGCCATGGGATACCTTGTGCCACCTTGGAATTTTACCAGCAAGAAGTCCAACACTAGAAGCAGTCCCTCTACCTTGTATCTCTAGAACTATGACCAAAATACATTTTTTTTCTTTATAACTTCCTGATACAGATGGCAAGGAGACATTAACAAAGGAAACGATTATAAAGGAGTTATCTAGTTTGGAGCATATAATTCTTGTCTTTTCCTTTGTGGCTTTTTGTGGAGACAAATGTGCTGGGAAACTTTCAACATCCAACCCTTTTCAGTTGCAATACAGTTGAAAAACCTGAATATAACAAGAATAGATTTCTGTGGATTGCTATAATGGTGGCCCAGAGAATTAAGTACTGATTGTATTAGAGGAACGCTGTCACAGAACTGCTTTATTGCAGCGTGGATCATAAAATAGGTGGTTTTCAGTGGCATGCTGAAAGTTGATGTGTTCTTACAGACCATTGCTGAATTTCTAGGAATTTTGCCAGCACCATCAGCTTGAAATTGATCATTGTGGGAGTATTTACACCATGAATATCATCAAATGCTGTAAATAAGCCATAAAAAAACATTTTTCTCTTTCTGCCTCAGTTGATTTGCCAGGATCCCACTGGGTTTATGTTAAAAGTTGTGTGTAAAGTTCCATGCTTTAGAGACTGAAGAGTGAGTTTCTTTAGTTTACTTCTAAAAAATTGGTAAGATCCATACAGTCCTCCCTTTTGTTGCTTCTCTGTCACCCTTGCCCCCTGACTTCTTCAAAGTCAGGAAACTTTAATGCCAACCCCAGTGGCCTTTTATTTTTGCTCAGTTCTTAGCCTTCTAGGGTCTTTTTCACACAGACATGAACATATGCTATGGTATGAACTCAGGGCCTCATGCAAACACTATATCACTAAGCTATATCCTTCAGCCCTCTTTTCAGTGTTTGAGACTATAATGAAACCCCTAATTAGGCAGTTAGCTCTTAAAACATTTTGCTTAGTCTAAACTGAGACCAGCAGTTAATTTTATTAGGTTTTATTGTTTTAACTACTTTCTAAATGCAGTAATTCTTTAGGAGTCTATATTCATCTTGTTTTTGTTTTTTAATTATTCACTGTTCTTGAACTATCTTGTCTGTGGAGGACTAAGATCTCTTTCTCTTCTGTAATGCAGTATTGTTGGTGTTTTGTCAGCAGTTTGTACCTAATTTCTCAAATTTAACATGTCCAGACCATGACGTTACTTGTATCTTCCTTTAAACAATACAAAAGGCAAACTCCTTCACCTTCCCTGTTTTTATTAAAACAGTTACATTTTCAGGTTATCTGTAGTCATAACTGTGGCCCCTGAATATCAAATCTGCTCCTTTTATTTTCCCTCAATACCAGATCAGTTGCCAGGTCCCCAAAGATGCTGTTTTATAAGCTGTCCCCTTTCATGTCCCACTGTTACCTGGGAGCCATCTTCATGTTCTCTTTACCCAGTTTTTGCTAGCTTGGTAACACTTTGAACACAGCTCATTTCATTAGTCCCTTTCCACAAGGAACTGTGTTCTTTGCACATAGTGGCTTTATTATACTTATTGTATGTCTTCAGCCTGACTTCAGAGTCCTTTGGAGTCAGTGTGGCTCCCATTTAGCTTTGGAGTTTTAATTTCCTCTCTGTACTGGATTCTAACTCTGGGCAAGCCATATTTTTCTTGTTTCCTAAACATGTTACTTGTACCCTTCACATTCTCCATGGTTTGGTTCACTTTGTTTTCTCTAATCCAAAATGGATTGTTCTCTTTTTTTTGAAAGAGTGATGGATTTTTGTATGTTTGAGTGGTGTGTGTGTGTGTGTGTGTGTGTGTGCAGGGCATCTGGTGTCTTCCTCTATTGCTCTTTGCTTTATTTCCTTGAGACAGGGTCCCTCACAAAACTTGTTTTAGCTAGTCTGGGGGCCAGCTAACTCCTGGCATCTGCCCCTTAATACTGGGGTTACAGGCATGCTAGGCATGCCTGACTTCCTTATGTGGATGCTGGGATCAGGTTATCATGCTTGCATAGCAAGTGCTCTTACCCACTGAGCTATCTCCCTTAGCTCCCGTAGTATTTAATCTTTGTTTTTTGTTTTTTTTGAGACAAGCTTCTACTATATAGCCCAGTGTAGCCTTGAACTCTTGATCTTTCTGCTTCTACTTCCCAAGGGTTAGGATTACAGGTACGCACCACCATACTCTAAAGTTTCTTTATTCCACTTAAATCAATATTTAATAATATATTTCTTTGTGTATTTGTCAACTCAGAACAAAGTTTTTGTCTTGCTAAAGGGGGCTTTCTAAATACCAAGCAATAATTTTTTATTAAAATTTCAACTGTTAAAGATTGATGCCAGCGTAAGCATTGAGCTTACAAACCTAAAAGTTGAGTATTTATATTGCAGATATTTGTCTTAAAATTTCTCAAGATATTCAGAAAAGTTTGGTTTGAATAGTACAATTAGAACCACAAACTTAAATTGTTCTGGGGTGTTGGGAACAGGATACTATTTGTTGACCTTAGATGAACCAATCCATGCCTCCCAGAATGCCAGTCACGGGTCAACAAATGCGATGTCAATCCTGTGGCAAAAAAGCAAAGATGATAAAATCAGGGGGTGGGCCACATAATAAAAAACAACATTGGGCAATATGTTGTAGGATTGCTGGTGTCTCTGAAAACCCACACTCTTTATAACAGCTATTCTGAAACATTATTTTGGCTTAAAAATAGCCTTGACCAATTGTTAGAGTTTTAGTTTAGCTTGATGGTTCCCATTCCCGATTAGAACCTATAAAAAATTGTGTAGAGATTATTTTATTAAAAATAATTATTAGGTTTGAGGCTTAGGGCTTTTAGTTTTATTTTCTACATTGTCTGGTAAGTAAGCTTATTTAGAACTGATTGAAAGAAATGTTACTCTGACTTGTTAAGCAGTGAATTTAAATGTTCACATGTAAGTGCTTCATGTATGTTTGACATAAAGTATCTAAGTGTCCAACTCCTCTCCTGAGCGGTTTTTTTACTGTGTGAAAAAAGGAAAAATACTTGGTGGGGGGGGAAGAGTTGTTTTAAATTTTTAAATTAATTTTTATTGGTTCTTTGAGAATTTCATGCAGTACAGTTTGATCACATTCAGACCCCCTGACTTGGATTTTTAAGACAAGATTCTGCCATGTAGCCTGGGTTGGCCTCAAGTTCTCAGTC